GTCGGAATACCCCCGCGCTCCCCCCAGCGTGAGCAGCATTTGTTCGGAATCCGACCACGCGCGGGTGCTCGTCTCCGCGCTCATGGACGGGTCGAACGCGGAGAAGCGCGCGGCGCTGGCGGCGCTGCTAGAGCTGGCGGAAACGGATGAGGGGAAGCTTAGCGTGGCAGCAGCGGGCGCGGTTCCGGTGCTGTCTGTCCTCCTCACTCTCCCCGACAGTCCCGGGGAGCCCACGAAACTAGCCGCCGCGCGCGTGCTGCTGCGCCTCGCGTGCTTAGACGAGAACCGAGTGGTGATTGCTAAAGCGGGGTGCGTGCCCTCGTTTGTGTCGCTCCTGCGCACCGGGGGTCCCGAGGCGAGAGCGGTCGCGGCGCGGGTGCTGTGGAACTTAGCGGTGAACACGGAGAATAAGGTTATAATCGCCGCGTCAGAGGCTGTCCCGTCGTTAGTCGCGATTATCCAATCGGATTCCGAGAGTGAGGCGAAAGAGGAGGCAGCAGAGGCACTAGCCCAGCTTACAGCCAATAATGTTAGGAATCAGACGGCTGTAGCGGAAGCAGGGGGGGTCCCAGCTCTCGTGACTATGCTGAAGGAAGGCTCGCCTCCCGAGCAGGAAAAAGCAGCGCTCGCTTTAGGCACACTCGCGGTGAATCACGACGAGAACAAGTTGACTGTAGCGGGGGCAGGCGCGTGTCCGCTCCTTCTAGACCTGCTCTGTCAGAACGATAATCCCGAGGCGTCAAAGAACGCCGCGTGGGCCCTCTACGTCCTGTCCTCTAACAAGGTATCCGCGACTTACATCCTCGCTAGTGGCGGACTCGTTGCAGTGAAAAGAGTGCAAGACGAAGGCCCGCCGGAGTCCCTGTACTGGGCTTCGCATATCTTGTCTCTTTTGGACCCGTCCTCTGGGCTTCCTGAGAAGCACCCAGCGCATAGGCTGTCAGGGTTTGGGCCGGCGAAGGGGGGAAGAGACGACGAGGAGACTATGAGTCAGCGAATGGAGGAGAGGCGGGCAACGAGGGAGAAAATCGTGAAGGGTTGGTAGGGTCATTATTAAGAAGGCTGAAAAGGCACCAAGCGCATTGGCTGTCGGGGTTTGGGCCAGCGATAGGTGGCAGGGGCGAGGAGGAGACTATGAGTCGGAAAATGGAGGAGAGGTGGGCAACGAGGAAGAAAATCGTGAAGGGGTGGTAGGGTCGAATTTTGAGTGGACTGAATAGGCAACCAGCGCATTGGCTGTCAGGGTTTGGGGCGGTGAAAGGTGGCAGGCAGGACGGGGAGATTATGAGTCAGCGAATGGAGGAGCGGCGGGCAACGAGGGTTGTTCGGGGGTGGTGAGGTAGCAGGGTTGGGCTACATGGTGGGTGAAATGGTACGGGTATGGAGGTACGTAGCAGGGTGAATCAGCAGGGCCGGTGGGGTAGTGAAGGTGGAGGGGGGGCAGGGAAGCAGGGTACTGAGGGTGGTGATGTAGGTAGTAAGGTGAAGCAATAAGGCTGGTGGGAGAGTGGGGCTGGTGTGATACAGAGGGTGGTGAGTTAGTAGGATGAAGCAGTACGGCTGGTAGATTAGTGGGGTCGGTCCGGTGTGATAAAAGCCATGGCTAGACGACAGGGCGGTTTGGGAGTCGTGAGCAGTCAAGCTTTTTGAGGTGCCTCAAAGAGTGGCTAGACTGCAAGGCGGCATTGGGAATTGTGAGCAGTGAAGCGTATGAGGTTGTTGCAGTCGGCGTGGTGATAATAGCAGTTTGACGCGGGTGCGGCGAGGGGTGCTATGCTAGGAGGGAATCGAGTGGCTAGGAGAGGTTGTGACATGGCAAGAGCATCTTTGGGTTGTGCGTAAACCACTCTTGAAGCTCTGGCAAGAAATGTCGCTGCTGGTGGGAATGGCAGTTTTTTTTGGCCGAATACGAAGTGCAGCAGGGCTCAAGCTCAGGTTCTGGAGGTGCAATGCTGTGAGCTTGAGAAGCTGGAAGCTGTTGCTTGTTCGTGGAGGTGGTGAGATTTGTGACTCCTGTTGCCATGCCTAGTTACCGGTAGGAAGTTAATATTTATTTGTTATGGGACAATGTCTGGTTGGTAGGTATACATTGTAACCCCTTGGAAAATTTATCGGGCATTCATGCATGTGCTGAGTCGATTTTGATTGTTAGCTATTGTTACGAGTGCAATTGAGTGAGCGAGCGAGGATTGCACTATGGAGACAAGATACAATGAGCGAAGGATTGAGCGAAGAATATATAGCGAAGCTACGGTGGTAACGGTAACGTGTGGAAAAATGGGGTGCGCGACGGGCCTGGTGCCGAGGTTGGGGGACTGTCGAGGCAGAGGTCCGGGGCGCGGGTTACCAACCGAACCGTGAGGTTAGGTCGCATCGTGAACAGTGGCGGGAATGGTGGCGAATGTCGCGAGTGGTAACGGAATATTGTGGGGTGCTGTTGGCGGGAACAGTGGTGTACGCGCTGAGCAGGGACGAGAAGTAGGGAAAAGGGATTTTCCTTACAGCTATTGTGTAGGTTTAGTGGTACAGGCACAGTAAATCTTAGCACAGCACATTCACACATGCAAACAGGGTAAACTTCCGTCCGAACCGCTTTGAACCGCGCTGCTTGGCGAGAAAGGTCAGCCCCCTTCACCATCATCACGGTCACCGAAGTGTACCATTATCCACCGAGTCTTATCCTTCTACGATCCCCATCCCCACCCATCAAATCAATTCTGGCCTCTCAGAGTGCAACCCCTGCGGTTCGATCAATAGCGGCCACTCATTGGTGCGATCACTGACTGCCATTTATATATCAGAAAACGTTTCCGTTTTCCGTGGTGATTGACTGCCATGGAGGGGGTGCTTCGTGCTGAGCTGCTGAAACTGCTGCCGCTCGTCCATCCCGCTCCAGGCGACCTCGGTAGTACCGGCGGCAGCGGCCTCGCCTGCGATGTGACTAAAGCGAAAACCGCGTTTGCTCCCTACAGAATCTGCCCGTTAGGAGCTCACGTCGATCATCAGGTTCACGTTCTTTCTTCACAATTCCTGACGGCGTAACTTTCTATGTATCATTAATCAACTCGCCCGTAAGAGTCCACACCGATAGCACCACCGTTCTCAGGGCGCTCACCAAGTGGTGATGACGCTTCGTTCGTAACATTGACTCGAGTTCCCGAAGTTTTCATTTTCAGATTTGTTCTCAGTTTCCTCCTTCTCCTTACTTTGGAAGTCAATCCTCCTCAACATCTCTCATACTCCTTTTCCTCTCCTCCCCTCCTCTCCCATTCAGGGGGGTCCAGTGCTTGCAGCAGCCATCAACACAGGGGTTCGCTTCTGTTTCCTTTTGAGTCAAGTCAAAAGAAGACTCGTCTTCCCTCCTCTCCTCTCCCCTTCGCACACAACAGGGGGTTCCAGTGCTTGCTGCAGCCATCAACACAGGGGTTCGCTTCTGTTTCCTTTCGAGTCGACTCAAAAGCAGACTCGTCTTCCCTCCTCCTTTTTCCTCTCTCCTCTCCCCATCCCCCCAACAGGGGGGTCCAGTGCTTGCAGCAGCCATCAACACAGGGGTTCGCTTCCTTTTCCTCCCCACTCCCACTCCCCAGGTACGCCTCCCCACTCTCCTCAGGTGAGCCTCCCCCCTGCCTATATTTCTATGCTTACTTATTCATGTCATCGCCTCTTCCTTCTCTCCCGCTCTTCTTCTTACCTCTGTTTGCACGCTGTCGTCCTCTCACTCTTGGTTCACACCCATTTCACCTTCTTGCACGGGTGCATCAGTCAACCTCTGAATTCTGCCTTAATCTTTTCTTGGGGACTGGCAGGTTGTTGTGGCATCGCTGCCATTCAAAGGCACAGTGCAATTCCCCTTCAGGTGGGTGGGTGGGTGGGTTCAACTTGTGTTTTCTGCACGCTTGCAAGATGGCGTTGTGGTGATGAATGCACAGCACAGCACACGCATCGCCATTGACACACACAACACATTCTTGTCGCAATGTGCTGAGGCGCCTTAAAAAGAGTATCTCTGCTCTGAATGCACACACACACACACACACATCTCCATTGATTGTCACGTTGTACATGGCATACCATGGCATGGCATGGCATGGCACGATGGCATGTGTATGAAGTGCACAAGCAAGGCCGCTGAAGAGACAGAAGCAGTCCGATGAGCCCAACAGGGGTGCGGAAGGGAAGCAAAGTAATGAAGGAGGGGGAGAAGCGGGGGAGGAGGAGGAACAGTGTTGGGGCAACTTTGGCCGAGGAGCAGTGTGGGCGCTGCTAGAAGCAGGGCACAGACTGGAACAGGTAAGTGGGCGGGTGGGTGGATGGTTGGACGAGTGGGTGATTTGGACTGGACGAATTTTGAGTCGACTGAGAAGCTACTTTGGCCGGGCACCGTCCTCTGTAGCATTCATAGCTCAGCTTCCATCTTTGAGGGCGACTCAGATTAGGCTCTGTGCCGGCCACATTATCAAGTAGTGGGCATGATGTGCGGAGGTGAGTGATATGGGAGGATGGATGGAGTATTGCTAGCCGTTATCAACAGCATTCAGAGCCCAGCTTTCCTGACGGTTGATATATGCTGTGCTGCTGCCTCATCTAACGTGCTGCCTGCACCTTGCCGTCTCATGGCAGGGAGTGGTGGGGGTGATGTGCGGCCAGCCAGGCATGGACAGTGCAGGCGTCAGCTCCTCAGCAGCTGTAAGATACATTTATCCCATGCGCCCATCCATGCATACTTCTTCTTTGAGTCGCCTCGAAGATATATCTATGCACCCCACAAATGCACTTACATCCATGTTAATGCGCATGATTGTATCAGCGCTTCAGAAAACGTAAGCTGTACTTATGCGGCTATGCCCTTATTCTTGCGAATTTTCCGCCAATGCCAATGCACATGCATATATCAACGGTCCATGGTCTTTCTATGCCCATGTTCACAGCAGGGCTGGTGCGATTGCTTGGCTTTAAGATCGTTTTGCTCACCAATCTGTTCCTCTGTGCCATCTGCACAGGCAGACAGGTGTCGCGTTCCTATTGGCCCTCGCCGATGCCAACAACCTTTCTCTCTCTCCACAGGAGATCATTGAGTTGGACAGGTACACCTCGTTGCACTGCACTGCACCTTGTTTCATGCTGTGACACCGCATTGCGTTTCTTGCAGTCGCACTTCATGCATCAACAAAATGCCTCATTCATTTCATCCTCTTGCAGTGTCTGGCACTCCGTCTTGCTTCACTTCACGGGGCTGCCTATGCCTCCCTTTGCTTCTTGTTGCCTCCCCACCTCTTTCGTCCGCTCATCCGTTCCATCCCCTCGTGCATGTCTGCTTCCTTCGTTTCCTGCTCATCATCTTCTGCCTCTTCCTCTGTTTTTAGCCTCCTCCTCTGCTGTCCTCCCATCTCTCCTCCTCTCACACACTGCCATCAGGCTCATAGAGAACGGCTTTCTTGGTCTGAGGAACGGAGTGTTGGACCAATCGGCAATCGTTCTGTCGAAATCAGACCACCTCACACGCATCTGGTGCCAGGTGAGGTGACTTTCGAGGTGCGGATTAAAAGTTGTCTCTCTCCCCGCAAGTTTTATATTGATCAAAATCCGGCCACCTCACACGCATCTGGTGCCAGGTCAGGTGAATCAATCCTTTGTGAGCTGAGCTGAAGTACCTCACCCGCAGATCAGCTGAATCACCTCGCATGAACGCACGTCACCGCTCTTAACTACACGCGGCCATCCATCTTGTTTTGAGTCATCTTGCAAGCCACACTGTACCTCCTGTCAACTCGTTTTACTCCTTCCATTTTCCTCTGCTTCACTCGTTCTACACTCCACTTGCCCGTCCTTTCATATTGTGCCTCATTTCGAATTGCATGACAACAACTGCTGTAGCATGCGTCCTTGGCTGTCCCGAAATCACATCCCTCTTCCTCAGGACCGTCGGCATGGTTTGAGACGTCTCAAAACATCCTCAGGACCGTCGGCATGGCTACATTCCACTCCCTGCCGGATCACCATCTCACTCCGACAAACAAGGTGCTGTCTCTCTGTGCGTGTATGAGTCAGAATCCAAATGTTCAGTCAGATGACTCTTGCGTCGACTCAAAAGTCACTCCATCACTCATTCCTCCCCCTTGCAAATCACCATCTGTCTCGATGCTATATCCGGCCGGTTAGATCAGGTTGCACAGGTATGCAACCATGCGGGATCTAAAATTGTCATTTTCAACCCATCCATTTTCGCCCCATCTCTCCCCTTCTCTACCTCCCTGTGCCGCCCAGCTCCCCTCCCCCCAGTCGCCTTCATCTTGGCGTTCTCAGGCATGCAGGCAGCTCTCACTTCCTCCTCGGGCTACAACAACCGGGTGCAGGAGTGCCAGGAAGCTGCCAGGATGCTTCTCGCTGCAGCAGGACTGGAAGTGCCCTCTTTTCCTGTTCTTTCGCAAGGTCTGAGTCGTGAGGAAAGGGGGGGCTTTTTTCTACGCACCTGGAATGTCCTGTCCTATATGGCAAGGTCTGTGGCATGAGGCGGGCAGGGTGAGGCTGGGTTAAATATATCGAGCGGCGTGGGTTTGGCACATTTGATCCTTGTCGCAGACATGATCCTTGCTGTTTTCGTACACATGTGCCTGACAGTTGTGAGGCGTCTCAAACTCTGTGTGCTGGTTTCTTATACGACTTTTGAGGCGCCTCAAAAAACAGTGTTGAGGCGCCTCAAAAAACAGTGTTGAGGCGTCTCAAAATCCGTGTGCTGGTTTCTTACACGTGTGTCACTGACATGACCTGTGTCACTGACATGACCTGTGTCTTCTCGTCCTGCTCTTGCAGTGCCTCTTCACGTCTTCGAGGCCCACAAGGTAATAATACTGATCCTTTCTTCCTGATTCTCAGTCGCCTTTGAGCCCTTAAGGAAATTACTTATGCAATTCTTATCCACGTCCTTAAGAGCCGCAGGGAGGAGGCTTCATTCCTTCCTTCTCTTTTCTTGTCGCCACTGGCAGGACCACCTACCTGAGGCACTGTGTCGCCGAGCCACGCACTTCTTCTCAGAGAGCGCGCGAGTGCTGCAGGGCGCTGCGGCTCTGCAACAAGGTGACTGGCGCGTGTTTGGGCGCCTCATGTCGGAGTCGGGGCAGAGCTCCATCAAGCAGTACGAATGTGGTTAGTGTGTGTGGAGTGCTGCAGCAGGGGGACTGCTTTTGAGACATCTCAAAAGCAGGGGGACTGGCACGTGTTTGGGCACCTCATGTCGGAGTCAGGGCAGAGCTCCATCGATCTCTACGAGTGCGGTCAGTGTGGGTGGGGTGCGGTGCTGGCGGGTGGAGTGCAGCCAGTGTGGGTGTTGTGCTGCAGGGTGCTAAGGCGCTGCAGCAGTGCCACTGGCACCGGTCTGGGCGCCTCATGTCGGAGTCGGGGCAGAGCTCCATCGAGCCCTACGAGTGTGGTCAGTGTGAGGTGGGGGTGGAGGGGGAGGAGGGGTGCTGCTGGGTGCTGAGGGTTCTGCAACAGGCCTACTGGCTCCTGATAGGAGTGGGGGCAGAGCTCCATCGACCTGGGGGTGGTGGGGGTGGGGTGCTACAGCCTGCAGGGCGCTGAGGCACTGCAACAGGGCAGCTGGCAGCTGTTTGGAAGGCTCTTATCAGAGTCGGGGCAGAGCAACAGGGCGATCTCTATGAGTGCGGTCAGTGCGGGAAAGAGAGGGGTTGGGGGGGGGAGGAGGGAGGGAAGTGGGATGTGCTGGTGGTGGGTTGCTGCAGTGCGCTAAGGCGCTGCCGCAGGGTAGCTGGCACGTTTTTGGGAGGCTCTTGTTGGAGTCAGGGCAGGGCTCCATCGACCGGTACGTGCGCGGTCAATTTGGGTGGGGAGCGGTGCTGGTGGGTGGAACGCGGCCAGTGTGAGTGGGCTGCAGCAGGACGGTGAGATGCTGGAGGGCGCCGAAGCATTGCAGCAGGGCCGCTGGCACGTGTTTGGGAGGCTCATGTTGGATTTGGGGCAGAGCTCTATCAAGCAGTACGAGTTCGGTCAGTGTGGGTGGGGTGAAACAGGGCACTGAGGCACTGCAGCAGGGCGACTGGCAGCTGTTTGGGTGCCTTGTGTCAGAGTCGGGCCAGAGCTCCATCGAGCAGTACGAGTGCGGTCAGTGTGGGTGGGGTGGGGTGCAGTCAGTCGGCCCCTCTTCCCTTCTCTCTTTATCCCTTTTCTCCCAAGGCAGTCTCCCTCCCCTCCCTTCCCTTTTCATCCCTTTCCTCCCTCTCACCTCTCTCTCCTGTTGTCCCACTGCCACATGCAGCCCACCACTCATGCCCACCACTCACGGGGACTCTCCTCTCCCTTCTCTCCCTTCATCCCTTTCATCCCTCTCGCCTCTCACTCTCCCCTCCCCTCACCACCACAGGCAGCCCACCCCTCATAGAGCTTCAATCAATCCTCCTGGCCACACCGGGGGTGCTCGGGGCCAGGTTCAGTGGTGCAGGCTTCAGGGGGTGCTGTGTGGCGCTCGTGGAGCGAGAGAAGGTTGCTGACGTGGCGCGCCACATGGCAGAAGAGTATTCGGAGAGACAGCCTGAGCTGGCGGCAGCGTGTCAGAAAGATAGCATGGTGGTGGTGTGTGATATAAGCGAAGGCGCTAGGGTGAAAAGCACCTGACACAGAGTGTTGCAATCCAAGAGAAATTTTCCTAACAAAATTGTACACTCCAACTCAGATGCTACAATCTTCAGAGACACCACCAGCTACTTGGTGGCAAGGCCGGATCACATTGGTTCCAGGATGAGAATTATCCTACTTCATATACCACTTCTTGTCAGAATACCCACAGCAGATCTAAGATATTGAGCCAACGTGCTCAGTCCACCATTATTACACTCCATTCGCCAAGAGTAGTCAAGGCGCGTGGAGTGCGAATGTATTGAGTGCATAATGCACTCTTCGTGCTGTGCTGAATGCACAGTTGTAACAGTATATTAAGTGTTTAGCACCTGTTTATCTGCTCTGAATGGCAACCCGCAGGGCGCAGCGCAAGGCTCCGCCCTCACTGCATGGCGCAGCTCCGCTTTGGGCATTGCCCCGCCCCTCGTCGCAGTTTCGCCCTCAGCGCAGTTCCGCCCTCACTGCATGGCGCAACTCCGCCCTCGGCGCAGCTCCACCCTCGGCGCAGCTCCGCCAGATGCGCCCCCAGAGCAGCTCCGCTCTCGGCGCAGCTCCGCCGTCACTGCATGGCGCAGCTGCACACGTCATCATCGTCGTCCTCCATTTCCCACCACGCCAGGTCATCCGGGTGTTTCGTCTCGCTGCATGCATACAAGGTCGCAGAGGGGCAAGAGGGGAGGGGGGGAAAGGGAGGAGGGGCGTGGGGATGGGGGGGGAGGGGGGAGGGGGGGGAGGGGGGGAGGGGAGAAAGGGTGGGAGGGGGGTGGGTGGTGGAGGGATGTTAAGAATCTTGGGAGTTACCAGAGTTACCACACACTTGGGCATCCACAATGGGAGTTACCACGTGTTTTGGGAGTTACAATAGATACCACACACCTTTTTGAGTCAACTCATGAGTAACCGAAATACACCACGCACCTTGGCTCGTATTCTCGAATAGCCGTGAGCGACAAGCCCGCTTCGTCACCCCACCGCACTCGCCGGACCTTCCTCTCAGCCGTCCCATTCACGTGCAAGCACTCGATCGTGTGAGTCATGGACGGTTCTCGCTCCAGCATCGGCATCATCAGGGGATTTTTCAGGGGATTTGTCAGGGGGTTTGTAATCCAGACATGCGCGCCGGACTCGTCGCAGCGGCTTCCGTCGCTCGTGCGACACGTTTCGTCGCCGGCGCCGTAACCGTCGTCGACGTCGCGGAGGTGGGCGAGGGTGGCGGAGCGGTGTTGTAGGAGTGACGGCAGGGCGAGGAACGGCGGCAGGAGGCAAAGATTCGCCGCGCACATGGCCATGGCGCAAAAATGTTTATATCCTTACGGAGAGACTTCCTCGTCAAAAACTAGTTCCGTATGGTGATCGAGATTGTTAAGATGTAACGAGTTCTGCAGGCGGTCAGGGATGTGCTGCTGGGACGATGAGCGCAGGAGAGAGGGAGGAGCTTTTACAGTAAGAAACTAGTGGAGCGCGCGATTGGAAACTTCGGACGGTTCGTTGGTGCGCGACGGGTTAATCCATAGTCGGGAAGCTCAATTTTGAGCTCGTAACATTCTGTGCTATATCTCTGGTTGACGGCAGCGGCTTGCGTCCGCTGAAAAACCCTTAACACTTACACAGGCGATAAAATGACTGGCGTAATGATCCTGACACTGACTGAATGTGGTATGTGTTTTGATTTTCGGCGCTGGCCTGCCTTGTTTTTGCGCGTGACTTGTAAAATGCGGATGAAGATAGAAGACCGCTTTACTGCCTAGGTATCCTGACTTCTTGATGGTTTTATGACTGCTGTATCAGTTGACTCGACAGTCAGAAGATAATCCTGGGCCGCGGAACTGCAGCCAACTGGCTGGCCCACAAGGGAAGGGAGGAGGGGGTGTGGTGAGAGAATTGCTCCAGGGCCTTGTTTGGTGATTCGCTCTTGCCCACGTGTCCCCGAATTGCTCGCGTGGCCATCCAATTCAGTGATAATTGCTCGAGTGGCCATGCCAGGGCATTTTCGAGGTGTTTTGTTTCCCTGGCACATTACCCTACAAGGGTTCGTACCCCCGAAATTCCTCTTTCGCACAACAGTAGATGCGCGGTCATTTTCGGCCCAATGCGCGACCAATGAGCGCGTGGGCAAATATATCAGCGATACATCTGCAATGCCGTAGCATAAATGCCATATAAAACCATATATATCAAATGTCATAAATATATTCTCTGCCATTACTTTAAGCCCAGCATAACCGTGGTCCATAATATTGTATTGCCGGTAATATGGTTGCAGCATATTGTGAGTACAATGATGGCACAATGATGTAGTTGCAGATGTATCGCTGATGTATTTGCCCACGCGCTCATTGTTCGCGCATTGGGCCGAAAATGACCGCGCATCTACTGTTGTGCGAACGAGGAATTTAGGGGGTACAAACCCTTTTAGGGTAATGTGCCAGGGAAACAAAACACCTCGAAAATGCCCTGGCATGGCCACTCGAGCAATTATCACTGAATTGGATGGCCACGCGAGCAATTCGGGGACACGCGGGCAAGAGCGAATCACCAAACAAGGCCCTGGAGCAATTCTCTCGGGTGTGGTGCAGCGAAATTCGGCAAATTTCACACGAGAGGAGCGGCTCGAATAACATTGGGCATTCCGAAACTGGAAATGTCGACGCTGGCACAGAGGCGGCGCGGAGCCTCGCTGAAACTCGATTCTCGACATGAGCGCCAAGCACGGCGGACATAATGCAAGCTCCTCCTACCTTACGTACGAACCGAGACCCTGCTTCGGCAGGTATATTTCGGACTATGATTGGCTACAGATGTGAAAGCGGGTGGTTCGGTGCGTTGGGATTTTCGAGTGATGTTTGTGATGTGCTGGTGACGTGGTTGGGGGTCAGAGTGATATCTCCGTCGAGAGAGATGCGACGTGCGATGTCTGCGATCAGCGAGAAAGGCTTGCTGACAAGCTTATTCGGGAGATGCTAGCGTGCACGAATTTCGCCAACGAGTCAACGACAAACATCCACTGCTTTTCCAACATGTCAACAATCGCCGTCAACAGTCGCCAACCAGAACGGTGCCGCCCCTTCAAAGTCACCACTTCTGATTCTGTTTAAATGTTAGCCATCCAGCATTATGAAGTTTATCTCTATATTTGTCACTGTCACGGTGTCTGTTATTATCGAGTATATGTATTTCCTGCAAATTCAAATCCATCTAAAAATCGCCCCCATTTTTCATATTTCACTCTCTTTCGACGGCTTCTTCACAATATTCCGAAGAGTTCCTAGCCTGAACGGCGTGAGCCGTCGATTATGCCCGCGCTCCCGAGATACCCAATGAATCTACTCTCTGCCTGCGCTCTAGTGTTTCTGCCGCTAACGCTGCTCGTCGTGACCCTTGCTCGAAGCGTGTCATCTGCCTCCGCGTTCCGCGGCGGATGGGGCGCAGAATCTTTCTTGACCCAGCACGGAAACTCGCGTCGCGGCGAGAACCGTACGATAAGAGACGACCATTCAAGCGGTTTCGTGCGAGGCCGCCTGGAACCTCTTGAGTTCTCGTTTACGGGAAGGCCCAGCGCGTCGAATTCGCGTGCGCAACGCACTGCGCGCGAGAGAGACGGAGCTCCGGTGGGTGGACTCGCGTCGCGTCGCATGTCGCATCCAAAAAAACACTAAATCGTCCTTTTAAGTTTCATTTTCTTTCCGTTTCTTTCTTTTTCTGCCTGTGTGTCCCAATATATCTTCCTTACAGCCATATTATTTCGAACGCTCCTACCCTGGAGGCTGGTTCACCTACGGAGCTATTTTGGACTCGCGCGTAGAAGCGTCCGACCTGCCGTCTTTAATCTCCTCGCGCACGGGCACCCACACGCCGGCTTTCATAAGCGCGTACGCCGTCACGTCCCCTCGCCCGCTCGTCTTCTTCTCCATCCTCTGGCAACCCAACTCCAAATCCGTAAGCTCCTTCTATTCGCTCACAGCTTTCCATGTATGTATGGAAAGCTCTTCTCCTCCCCATTTCATCATGCCTCGCGGGCTCGTTCGCCAACGCTTCTCCTCTGACCTTCTCTGACCTTCTCTCCCTCACTTACTGCCTCTCTCTCCCCCTCTTGCTATCGACAGTTTGGCTGGGCGGTGCTGTTCAATCTCGACGGTCCATTGTTCCAGGATGCTCTCCACCGTCAGATCGCGTCGGGCTTTAAGCCTGTGCAGGTGCACAAAGGATGGGGGTGCGTCACCATTTAGTGCAGTGTTACGTTGTAATTTGATTGTCCATGATGCTGGCATTTTCTTACATCTCAGTGCCGGCGTCGTGTCATCGACACCTGCCGACCATCCGGCCAATCCCTGCCGCCCATCCCTGCCGCCCATCGTTGCCGCCCATCGTTGCCGCCCATCGTTGCCGCTTGGCAGGTGGAGAGCTACTACGTGTCGGACGAAGGCAGGCCGTACTACCACGAACTCTACTACGCGGCCTTCTTCCTTGCTGACGTGGCATGGCCAGCTGGCAGCGACACACAGGTGGAGGCGGCATTCGGCATGCCACACGACAAGAGCTACTGCTGTGGGCCCGCCTCCCGATGGTGGCGGCTGCAGCGACAGGTGTGGCGGGCAGATGGGTTGTGAGGGTTTAGATGGGGTTTGAAGAGGGTCAAATAGGGTCTTTTGAGACGGCTCTTACATCACCTCGCCTCACCTCATCTCACTTTACAGAGCGCTGGCAGTATTCCTTTCCCAGTGCTATCTTGCTCTCTCCCTACACCCCTGACAGGGTCAGCCCCCTCAGCATCTCTCTAACAGAGGATCCCATTTCTCTCACCGTCTATCTAGGTCCTTTGAATCGAGTCAACTTAGCTATTCTCCCTCATCTCCCCTCATATTTTCCCATCTGCCCCACATCCCCCACAGGGTTTCAGCCCGCTCAGCATCTCTCTCACAGAGGACCCCATTGCCCTCACAGTCTATGTGGCGGATGTGTGGAGCAACGCCCCCACCCCAGCTGGGTGATAGCCGCTTCCCCCCAAACACCCCCTCCGCCCCGCCTCCCACTGGCTGTGCTATTAAGTCGACTGAAGTGCTGTCCTCTCCTCGTTCGATCTCCGCCCTCTCGTTTCAAACCCCCGTCTTTCCCCGCTCGCCTCCGTCCCCTCGGCTTCCTGCTATTGATTTAACGGTTGTGATCGGATGATATTGATCCAACGACTTCGAGTCAACTGAAAACTTTCCCCTCCGACACTCCCTCTGTGTTCCTCTCTACTCCCAGATGGCAAGCCGGGGTGGCGAGGACGGAGGAGCAGTTGCAGCAGGAACTGATGCAGTTACCGCCTCCCCTGGTTCCCACCTACCTCAAGGCGTACACTGTGGGGATGAAGGTGAGGACGAGGGGATGAGGGAAGGAGAGGCACGTTGCGGTATAATGTGGTACACTTGGGTACACTGCAGCACACTGCGGTACACCGTGGTACACTGCAGTGCCCGATAGCATATGTTGAATAACATTCTGCTCTAGCTCTACCTCACCTCCCCCCCCCGAAGCAGGTCTTCTATGTGTACGTGGCCCGACCTCCCTCCGCCCCCACCGCTCCCCACCGCATCCTCACTCCCGACGTTGGCCGCAGCAAAACACACTCTCTTGGCCCCTTCTCCTCTTCTCTCTCTCTTCCTCCCCTCTCATCCTCCTCCCCCTACCAAGCAGGTATTTTATGCGTACGTGGCACGCCCTCCCTCCGCCCCCACCGCTCCCCACCGCATCCTCACTCCCGACATTGGCCGCAGCGGCTTTGAGCTGCTGGCTCTCTCCCTCAAGCACCCCCCTCTCCTTGTTTCCTCTTTCCTGCCCCCCAAGTGTGGGAGCCATGGGAAAAGTGAGAGGGAAAGATACTCTGCTGTGTGGCAGACTGATGGTGCTGAGAGGGGGGTGGGGGAAGAGGGGGGTATAGGAGAGTGGGGGACGAAGGAAGAGGGGAGGTGGACGGATGGAAGGGCAAAGCCATAGGGGACGTTGATGAAAGGGGACCAAGCAGGAATGCAAGGATTGTAAATATGTTGCAAAAGAGATACCGTAGAATGTTTTAGCATGTCATTCCCCTTGTAAGTAATTCCATGTATATTGTAGAGTTCCGGTGAGCTGTTGAAGAATGGAACATTTTTGTAGTTTATCATGAAGATTGATTACTTTGCATCGGAATTGTAGGAGTGAGGGGTTTGCGCAAGCATGACAGGTGTTTCATCGCTCTAGCTCTGGTCGTATCGAGCGTCCCATTGACGAGGACAGTAATTTCCCAATATTCCACCCCACGCCGAATTCACTTCACCGAGAATTTGACGTGCACCTCGCTGAAGCGAATTCAGCTCTTGGCCTCCGCATTTCGCTCTTCCTGCGCGAACACCTTTCCGCGTCGTCCGCCCTCGTTCGTCCTTACTTTTCCTTAGTGTTTCCCGCTGCCCTCCGTTCCGCTCGCGCTCCGTTTCCGCACCTAGGATGGATTTCCGCGCCGCCAATATCCTCGCAGCGCTCTTGTCTCTAGCGCTCCTCGCGTCGGCCCTTCCTCGCCACGTGTCCTCATCCCCCGCGTTCAGCGGCGGATTCGGCTCGGATTTGGACCTCCGTGGCCCCGCCGCCGCCGCTGACGGCTCATTCCTTGACGAGAAACTCCCGCGAAGGAACGTATCCAACGGTGGTGCCGTAACACTGCTGGTAGTTTCGTCGCACGGAAACCACAGCGCGCTGAGTCGCCTAAGAATCTGGAAGTTCCGCACGAGTGGTCCCGCGGAACGCGCGCCGCCAGAAATCGTCGGAGATGAGGTGTGATTTGCGCCCGCATTATGTGTGTGCCTAATGTCGGATTTCGGTGACTTCAAAAATGCTTCGTGCTTCCCATCACCCTCCTTCCCCCCACTCCTCCCCCTCACAGCTCAACTACTTCGAGCGTAAGTACCCAGGGGGATGGCTGACTGCCGGACCGATCCTCGACTCACGAGTCGAGTCCTCTGACCTGCCGGCTCTTCTCTCCTCGCGCACGCGCTCCCACGTGCCTGCCTTCGTCAGCGCGTACGCCGTCGCGACCCCCCGCCCACTCGTCTTCTTCTCCATCCTCTGGCAGCCCAACTCCAAATCCGTAAGCATTCGGCTCGTACAGTCCACCCTGCAAATCCATAAGCTCCTATCCTTGCATCACTTGCTCGCTAGACCCTTCCAGGATTGATGCGGCCGGATTTTTCCCAACTCCGTGAAATCAGGCAGGGCATCTGGAAGCTCTGTGAATATCTACTGTGCCCCTTTTTCTCCTCCTCTCCCATCACCTCCTCTCCTCCTCTCCCTGCTCTTCCTCCTCCCCAACAGTTGGGGTGGGTGATGGTGTTCAACCTCAACGGCCAGCAGTTTCAGGATTCTCTGCACCATTACATCTCCTCGGGGTATAAGCCCTCTCAGGTGCGGATCTCTCTACCCCGCTCAGGTGCGTATGTCCATCTTACCCATCCATCTTACCCATCCATCTTACCCATCCATCTTACCCATCCATCTTACCTCGACGGCCAGCAGTATCAGGATGCCCTACACCATTACATGTCCTCGGGCCATAAGCCCTCTCAGGTGCGCTAGTCTTGCTTAGGTGCAATCCCTCTGCCACCCACCGCTCTGCTTGCCACACACCCCACCGCTCTGCTTGCCATACACCCCACCGCTCTGCTTGCCACACACCCCACCGCTCTGCTTGCCACACACCCCACCGCTCTGCTTTCTGCTCACCTCTCTGCTTTCTGCCCACCTCTCTGGCTGCCGCCCACCAATCTGCCGCCCGGTCCAGGTGGAGAGCTACTACGTGGCAGACCACCACGGGCTGTACTACGCCGCCATCTTTCTTGCTGACGTGGCGTGGCCAGCTGGCAGCAGCACACGGGTAGAGGCGGTGTTTGGCGTCCCCCACGACTCCTCCTACTGCTGTGGGCCCTCTTCCCGATGGCTGCAGTTACAGCGACAGGTGGCATTTGGGGGGGGGGGGGGGGGGGGGGGGGAGGGGGGAAGAGTGGAGGGGTGGGAGGGATGGGGGTTTGCTGGGTGGGTGTCTCGTGAATGGGTGCCCCTCATAATGCCTCGTACTGCTGCGGTCCCTCCTCTTGGTAGGGGGCCAGCACAGTGGGGAACAGCATGAGGGGAGACAAAGCACCTCCGCCTCCACACTCTGCAGCATGAGAGCTGCACTGTGTACGTCCTGAGCGATGGGAGGGGAGGGGGGGAAGCGGGGGCTAAACCCTCCGCCTCTTCCTCTCCCCCCCTCCCTCCCACCTCTCAGGACGTACACGGTGCATCTCTCATGCTGCAGAGTGTGAAGGCGGAGTGCTTAGTGTGTGTGTGTCGCTAATTTGGCGTCGAACGTGTTTCTAACCACGTTAATGTTAGTTAATATGGTAACTTACGTGCGCTGTGTTTTCCTCAGTGTACGAGACCTAAGTGCACCGCTCACTTAGGACCCTTTTACCCAGTGAGTGTTCGTGGCGGGATGTGTGGAACGATGCTCCCAGCAGAGGGGGCTGGCAGGGCGGGGTGGCCAAGACTCCCCTCTCCCCCCCCTCTTCTCCTCCCATTTGCAGGGCTACACCCCTTTGAGTGTGTCTTTCACAGAGGACCCCTCGACCCAGAGAGTATACGTGGCGGATGTGTTGCACGATGCACCCATCGCTTCTATCTTCCCTCTCTTTCCCGTTCCTCCCCTCCTCCCTTTCCCTCGTGCAGGGCTACACCCCGTTGAGTGTGTCGTTCACAGAGGACCCTTCCTCGCTCATTGAGTTCCACACTGCTCCCGTTCCTTCCATCTTCCTTTTCTTCCTGCTTCCCCCCTTCCACATGCAGGGCTACACCCCGTTGAGTGTGTCGTTCACAGAGAACCCTTCCTCTCAGAGAGTATACGTGGCGGATGTGTGGAACGATGCTCCCAGCAGAGGCGGCTGGCAGGGCGGGGTGGCCAAGACTCAGGCGCAGCTGCAGCAGGCCCTCACTCAGCTGCTGCCTCCCCTGGTTCCCACCTTCCTCAAGGCGTACACTGTTGGGTATCAGGTGAGAAGAAGAGTGAATCAGGATTAGAGGTTCGTCGGAGGATGGGAGCATGAACAGAGGATGTGAGGATGAGGGGAGGATGTGAGGATGAGGGGGGAATGGGGGAATGGATGGGTGCACTGGTATATGTTGGACGCCTGGCTTCAATGTGTCCAGGTCTCCTGTACTGGGCCTATTGTGCCCAGGTACTTGTCCTGGGCACAATACCTGGGCGAATCCTCACTGGTGAAATTAGTTGGTTTCGAACCGCAGCAAGCCTTCTAAGAGTTTACAAACGACCTATAGAACTATTTTTTTATAATCTGAAAAGGCGAGAGAAGTCGTAAGCAAAGGTCTTGTAGTCAGAACGCCAGACACATAGGCCCGGATGTCATGAGCGAACGCGTTTCGGCCAACTAAGGCCTTCATCAGCGCAATACCTGTGTCCAGGCCTCCTGTACCTGGGCACAATACCTGGGCGAATACTCACTGTTGAGCCAGCACTAGACTTCGAGGTGACTTTTGAGTCGACTCAAAAGTCACTTTGTGTCCAGGCCTCCTGTACATGGGCACAATACCTCGGCGAATACTCACTGTTGAGCCAACACAAGACTTCTCCTCCACCCTTTCCAACGTCAACAGGTGTTCTATGCATACATCGCCCGGGCCAGCCCATCAACACCTCCCCGCTCCACCCTCACGACTGATGTCAGCCGCAGCGCCTTTGAGCTGCTCGCCCGCTCCCTCAAGCACCCGCCTCTTGTTCTCTCCCTTCCTGCTCGTGTTGTTTTATATTCCAACGTCAACAGGTCTTCTATGCATACATCGCCCGGGCCAGCCCATCAACACCTCCTCGCTCCACCCTCACAACTGACGTCAGCCGCAGCGCCTTTGAGCTGCTCGCCCGCTCCCTCAAGCACCCGCCCCTCCTTGTGTCCTCGTATGGGCCGATGAATGGGGGGGCTGGGGAGAGCGACGCCCCTGGATCGGGTGAGAGGTATGCTGTGCTGTGGCAGACGGATGGGGTGGGGGTAGAGGCAGAGGCAGGGGCAGGGGCAGGGACAGGAGAGAATGTTAAGCTAGCTGACCAGTAGATCCAAGCAGCCGCCCCTCCTTGTGTCCTCGTATGGGCCGATGGATGGGGGGGCTGGGGAGAGCGATGCTCCTGGTTCGGGAGAGAGGTATGCTGTGCTGTGGCGGACAGACGGGGTGGGAGCAGTCGTAGAGGAAGGTGCAGGAGAGGCAGGGGAAGGGGTAGGAGAGGATGTAGCTTAATGGTAGAGTCAAGAAGCCGCCCCTGCTTGTGTCTTGTTACGGGCCGATGGATGGGCGGGCTGGGGAGAGCGATGCTCCTGGGTCAGGGGAAAGGTATGCTGTGCTGTGGCAGACGGACGGGGTGGGGGCATAGGCAGGGGTGAGGGAGAATGTGGGGCTAACTTACCTGTAGAGTAAAGCAGCCGCCTCTGCTTGTGTCCCCCTATGGGCCGGTGGATGGGGCCACTCACGACAGTGTGTCAAAATGTTATAATGCTCACATTGTGTAGGCTGTAGTGGGGTAGCCCATAAGGGGTACAACCCAATTAGGGTTAGTACTTGTACCAACTTTCTGTTCAATGCTTTCATTCTCGTCCAGTATTCTGACACATTGGTGCTTCTGGGTCGTGTGAGAGGTATGCCGTGCTGTGGCAGACAAATGGGGTGGGGACAGGGATTAGGACGGGGATGAGTGATGTATAATGTATTAAATGATTGGTTGTAGAGAGTTTGGTAATTCGTACGTGGGCCTTCATATTTGATGGGTAGGAGAGGGATGCTTTTGGGTTTGGTTATGGGTATGTTGCCACGTGGCATACAGCTAGGAGCAGAAACATATGAGTAGGGAAAGACGAGGCTTGTAAGGATGCACTGATTCAAGTACGAACAAATATATTGCTCGGCATTCGGATTACAGATTGAATTTGCATGCTTGTGACCATTCATGGTTTCTTCGAGAATTTAGGGTGCTAATGGTTCTGCTTTCAGTATAATGACGAGCTGCTATCGAGGATCCGGACGTTCAGGTGGTCTTGTTAGTTGGTGGGATTGCATTGAACAGTGCGGGCTGGTCATGTAAACGTGGTTTCAGGCGTCCGACAAAACTGCGAGGTTTGTCGCCTTCTGCCCATCTGCCCATCGGGTCAGTGGTGGGGGTGGGGTGAGGGTGTGGGGGGGGCACTGATGGGGGGCAGGAGAGACATGAAGGGGTGACAGGGTCACAGGGATTGTGGTCACAGAAAAGGTGAAAAGAATTTCGTCTTGTCGATTCGTCACTCGGCTGCCCGCAGATCCACGTTCCATTCCCAACCAAAAAGGACGACACGTTCTGCTGCCCGTGTCGGTCAAAAAAGGGACCAGCGTGTTTACACCAGCTGCCCCAGTATGAACTGTACCCCAAAGAACGTCAACCTTTTGATCCGCATGAAACCGGGCAGCAGAAAGCAAAAGCAGCAGTTCTGCGTTATTTTGTCAGGTGTTTAGTCCTGAACTGTGCTGTACTTGATGATTGTACACATCGAGAGAAAATGTATGTGACAATGAGAACCCTGGGATTCTCGAGGTGTTCCCAGAGGAACTCCTTGGGAACCCACTTTCAGTGACTTCTGTTTCCTGAAGTTCCCAGTAATAACCAAACTGATCTGTGCAGGGATCTGTGCAGGGCTGTTGCTGCATGAGTTGGAGCAAGGTTGTGTTGTAATGCGAGCTATCCTCTCACCTGCATTTCGGCGAGAAACAGATTCTAGCAAGTCGCGAGAGAAGATACCAATACCAAGACCGCCATCGACTCTCGCGAACCTAGTCCAAGTCTTAGTAACAAAACGGGATTGGGTCACGGACGGATAGAGACATTTGGGATAAGGCCAACGGTTATCAGTGTAGGGTCTCACTGTACTCGACTCATCACGCTCAGCGTTGTCCCTAGATTCGGTGTGGCAGCTCTTTCAGAAAGACACCATGCGTAAACCTAGTATTTGCGAAGCGGCGACATAGCCTCGTCTCACTCTAGCCCTATCACGAAAGTCTCGCGCTCGTTCGTCGCGATTAGGGCATCGGCCACCACTCCGACCCCTTTTTACTGGGACGTTTTGAAACAGAGAAGGTGTAGCTCGAGTTGTCGGCCTCGGTCTTATCGAGGCTCGGCGTAACGTCCGCGGCCGCCCGGGAGACGAAAATGTCGCCGTGCGATAGAATCCTCGCAACGGGACGTTCCTCTAGCAGCGTAAAGTATCGGCAACGTAGTGATACGTTTAGAGCCCAGAGACTAGACTCCTGGAGATTCTCGACGAGCCAAATGCTCCGACTCGCCGTCGTGATGTTTGTGCTGTTGTGGAGTTCACCATTAACGCGGACGCAATCAGGTTCGTGGTTCCTGCAGGTTTCGACCGTCCATGTCACATCCCGAAGTAGCTAAAACGAAGTTGTCGCCATCTTTCCTTCAACCCGTTCCTGTTCGAGCATTCGTTGTCTTCCTCGGTCGCTTTCGCTTGAACTGTCAGCCGGTGCACATGTTCCGCGCGCCATCGTTAGGTTCCCTTTTCCGTGTGTTCTTCGCATTCTGCACGTCCCTTCCGCCGTCGTTCCTTTCCGCCGTCGTTTCTTTCCGCCGCTGCCCTCCGCCATTTCCTTCCAACTTACTGAGTATACCGCCGCCTTTCCTTACACCGTGCACTCCCCGCGTATCCTTACCAGTGTGCAACCGGCAAGCCGTTGTGTACGTGACGGAGACCGGAACCGCTACCGGCTGCTGCGGAACCGCGCAGAGGCCGTGCGGTGAGTCGTGAGAGCAAGGCATGGCGGAAAGGGGGAAAAGTGGGGATGGGGAGGGGGAGAGGGAGGGGGAGGAGGAAGGGGGAAGGGAAAGGGGAAGGGGAAGGAGGAAGGGGGAGGGGGAAGGAACGGGAGGGGGATGTAGCGCAGAGGCCGCGCGGCGAGTAATGAGGGACGCTCTGGCGGAAGGGGGAACAGGGGAGGCGAGGGGGTGGAGAGGGGGAAAGGGTGGAAGGGAGGAGGGAGGGATGGAGGGACAAGGGGTTGTAGCGCAGAGGCTGTGCGGTGAATCGTCAGGTTCTTCACATCCCACCTTCGGGAGTGAGCGAGTGACGTCGTCGGCCGTCTGCTAAGCCCACTCGAATGCGCTAGTCAACGCCTGCTCGTCCCGTGCTCGTCGTGTGCTCTTGCTTCCAGCCGTATCCTGCTTTCTAACCGTCTCCCGCCCCTCCTCTCCCACACTCCCGCCTCACTTCCCACCCTCCTCTTTCCCCCCCCCCCCTCCCCCCCCCCCCCTTTCCCCATGCTCTCCCCCGCCTCCCCCCCTCTCGCCCCGCTTCCCCCCGTCTTCCCCCTCTCGGCCCACTTCCTCCCTCTTTCCGCGTCCCCCACCCACCCCACCTCCCCCCTTCCCCCATTTTTGTTCCATGGGGCTATTCGGCCCGGTTCCGCCTCGCCTCGTGGGTCTTTTATCGCAGGCTCTCTCGACCTCGCCCTTACCAAGTGAGTGTCTTACCCTCCTTGATTTGACTTGACCTAATTTGCTCGCCGCTAGCAACCACTTGCGTTGCGCCGTGTTTATATGACTATACCTTTCCGCAGCTTGTAGCTCTCCCCGCACCTCTCCTCCCCCTCCCCCGGCTTCCCCTGCCCGTTCCCCCCTCCCCCCTTTGCCCCCTGGCCCTCCCCACCCCACCCTCCGTCCCCCTTCCCCCGACTCCCTCCCCACCCCCCACTCCCTACCAGCGTAGATCTTAACAGCATCCTCCCCATCTCCTTCTCCCCGTTCGTCCTTCCCCCTTCCCCCACTCCCCCCCTCGTCCCCTTTTCTCCCCACCCCAGCGCGAATCTCAAAGGAGCGACGATCCTATTGGTCAACGGCACCATCCCCGTCTCCTTCTCCGCACTCTCCGCGCCCCTCGCGCTCGGCGGGTACTCCCTCACCATAGCCGCAGGCTCGCTCTCCTCCCCCTCCCCCACGCCCCCCGGTAAAATCACATCCAAGCCTCTCATCAACTGCAAAAACGGGCCCTGCCTGAGCGCCGTTTGTGCTACTAACGGGGGTGCTGCTGGAGGTGCTGCTCCTGCTGTGCCGTGCGCGCAGGCGAGTGTGACTATACAGGGGGTCGCTGTAATGAGCGGGCTGAACAGGCAAGCCGGAGGGGGTTGCTTGGAAGCGGCGAACCAGAAGGTGACTCTAACGAGCGTCGATTTCGCGAGCTGCATCGCGTACCTGAACGGTGGCGCTGTCTCCATAACGTCATCCAAGGATGTGACTATGGCGGGTGTGACTGTGTTCGACTCGAAGGTCACCCAAGGGGGCATCGATGGTGGTGGCGGCGGCATTGCCATTTTCTGTGAGTTTCTCTCATGCCGCCCTTCCAGTTCCAGTCAGCCTCTGTTCCCTCCCCCTCTCCTCCTCCCCTCTCCTCCTCCCCTCTCCTCCTCCCCTCTCCTCCTCCCCTCTCCTCCTCCCCTCTCCTCCTCCCCTCTCCTCCTCCCCTCTCCTCCTCCCCTCTCCTCCTCCCCTCTCCTCCTCCCCTCTCCTCCTCCCCTCTCCTCCTCCCCTCTCCTCCTCCCCTCTCCGCCTCCCCTCTCCTCCTCCCGCATCATCGTTGTGCTGCCACCCCTTTCCCCCTCCTGCAAACCCCTCCCTCTCCCTGCCTCCCCCCCCATACTTCCCCCAACCCCAGCATCCAAGGCAACACTCTCGGGTCTAGACATCCAGTCATGCCACGCGGACGAGAGCGTGGGGGGCGGAATCGCCATCTACTCTACCACCCTCTCCCTCTCCTCCTCCTCCATCTCCGAATGCTCCTCTCGCTTCCTTGGCGGCGGACTCGCCTCCTCCTCCTCCACCGTCACACTCAAATTCGTCCAAATCACCAGCACCAACGGCAGCTCCGGGGGGTGCTTATCCGACGCCTCCTCTCCCTCTCTTTCTGTCCAGTCCTCCACTTTCTTCGGGTGTTTCGCCGCGTCGGCCCGCGATTACGCCCCTTATAGCGACGACCCGTCGTACGGTGGCGGATTTTTCCTTAACGGGACAGTATCTACTGTAGTTTTAGACTCTACTATAGACTCTACCACGTCTGTCTATGGCGGAGGCGGGATCTACGCTATGGGCACGAGCTCGATCTCGATCCAACGGTCCACAATCACCCGCTGCACGAATTACATGGAGAGTGGGACGGGGATTGGTGTGGATTGCTGGAGCCTGGAAACAACAGGAAGCGTGGAGTTAATCGATAGTAATATCCTGGATAATACGGGGTATGCCGCGGTTAACCTGGGTGTCGGGGTGTATTTATCGGACGTCAATGCGGTGGTGCGCGGTTGCAATATCTCGGGGAACAACGGGCTGATGACGGAGGGGCTTAAAGCCCAGGGAGGGGGCATCAGCACGAACGTGTATAACAAGGTGGACGTGACGTTTGAGCTCTCCAACTCCACCGTCAGCAACAACTGGGTGAGTGCAGTGCGGTGAGGTGCGGTAAAGTGCGGTGTGGTGCGGTGCGGTGTGGTGTGCTGCGGTGTGGTGGGGTTTGATGGTGGAGGGGCTTAAAGCCCAGGGAGGCGGTATCAGCATGAACGTGTATGCCAAGACGGACGTCACGTTTGACTCTACTATAGACTCTACCACGTCTGTCTATGGCGGAGGCGGGATCTACGCTATGGGCACGAGCTCGATCTCGATCCAACGGTCCACAATCACCCGCTGCACGAATTACATGGAGAGTGGGACGGGGATTGGTGTGGATTGCTGGAGCCTGGAAACAACAGGAAGCGTGGAGTTAATCGATAGTAATATCCTGGATAATACGGGGTATGCCGCGGTTAACCTGGGTGTCGGGGTGTATTTATCGGACGTCAATGCGGTGGTGCGCGGTTGCAATATCTCGGGGAACAACGGGCTGATGACGGAGGGGCTTAAAGCCCAGGGAGGGGGCATCAGCACGAACGTGTATAACAAGGTGGACGTGACGTTTGAGCTCTCCAACTCCACCGTCAGCAACAACTGGGTGAGTGCAGTGCGGTGAGGTGCGGTAAAGTGCGGTGTGGTGCGGTGCGGTGTGGTGTGCTGCGGTGTGGTGGGGTTTGATGGTGGAGGGGCTTAAAGCCCAGGGAGGCGGTATCAGCATGAACGTGTATGCCAAGACGGACGTCACGTTTGAGCTCTCCAACTCCACCGTCAGCAACAACTGGGTGAGTGCAGTGCGGTGAGGTGCGGTGCAACGGTGTTGATGGTTATGATGTGGTAATTGTGGAGGTGGCGTTTGTGCCCCCTCTCCCTTCTACCCTTTTCCTCACCCCCCCACTTGCCTTTCCCCTTCGCCCCCCTCCCCCTGCCTCTCCCCCTCCCCCCAGGCGTACATGGGCGGGGGTCTCTACATCGCATCGCCGGCAGCCACCATCAGCAACGTCACCTTTGGCTACAACTATGCCGTCGCTTCAGGAGGCGGAGGTGAGTTTCTCTGTGCAAGATGCGCAAGTGAGACCTTCTTAAGAACTGAATCCTGTTGTTGGAGTGACTCACAAATCAGAGGCCTGCTGTAGTCACCATCAGCAACGTCACCTTTGGCTACAACTATGCCGTCGCTTCAGGAGGCGGAGGTGAGTTTCTCTGTGCAAGATGCGCAAGTGAGACCTTCTTAAGAACTGAATCCTGTTGTTGGAGTGACTCACAAATCAGAGGCCTGCTGTAGTCACCATCACCAACGTCACCTTTGGCTACAACTATGCCGTCGCTTCAGGAGGCGGAGGTGAGTTTCTCTGTGCAAGATGCGCAAGTGAGACCTTCTTAAGAACTGAATCCTGTTGTTGGAGTGACTCACAAATCAGAGGCCTGCTGTAGTCACCATCAGCAACGTCACCTTTGGCTACAACTATGCCGTCGCTTCGGGAGGCGGAGGTGAGTCTTTTCATGCTCTAGACACGCGTGTTGTTGCCAAGGCTTGATTCCCCATTGCATCTTGAGGTTCCGCGACTCTTTGCAACTCCTTTTAACCGCCCTTCCTTTTGAGACGAGGTGACTTTTGAGTCGACTCAAAAGTCATCTCAAAAGTCATCTCAAAAGTCATCTCAAAAGTCATCTCAAAAGTCTTTTAACCGCCCTTCCTTCTTTCTGCACTCCCCCCCCAAACATGCAGTCTGCTGGCTGACCTGCCACACCCCTTGCAGCCCCTCTTAACCGCATTCTCTTTCCCTGCACTCCCCCCACCATGTGCAGTCGGCTGGCTGGACGGTGGCAGCATGGCGAAGAGCAGAGTGGAGGGCAAAGTGGGGGACAGTGGGGGGGACCTGCCGCACCCCTGGCAACCCTAATAAACCCCGTTTTCTCTCCCTGCTCTCCCCCACACGTGTGCAGTCTACTGGCTGGACGGTGGCAGCATGTCAAAGAGCCGAGTGGAGGGCAACGTGGGGGACATGGGGGGGGGCGGCATGGCAGTCAACACCATCAACGCCATCACTTTGGACGATTGTGACTTTGTTGCTAACGAGGCTACTACTGGGGAGGGCGGAGGCGTGCTTATAACGGAGGTGAGTGACCCAAGAATGATTTTGATCACTGGTCAATGCGGTCAACACAATCATCGCCATCACTGTGGACGACTGTGACTTGGTTGCTAACGAGGCTACCACCGGGAAGGGTGGAGGTGTGATTATAACGGAGGTAAGGCTGCTCGTTTTTTCTTCGTTGTGAGAACCCGCTGTTTTTTTACAGCCATCTAAGCCCTCCACTGTACCCCTCTCCCTCACCCCTCCATCCCCACTCTCCCACTCTCCATCTCTTCCCCCCTCTGCCCTTCCTGTTCCCTTCTCTGTCCCTCCTCCCCCTCAGGGCGAAGCCATAGACGTGACAATCAGCAACAGCCGCTTCTCTCAGAACAGTGCGCTGGCAGCGCAAAAAGGGTGCCGGCATTTTTTTGTCTACTCTAAACCCCTTCCTGTTCCCTTCCCCTCTCTGCCCCTCTCTCGCCTCTGCCCCTCCCTCCCCTCAGGGGCAAGAGACCGACGTCACAATCAGCAACAGCAGGTTCTCTCAGAACAAGGCCATGGCAGCACGAGGAGGGGCCGTGTTCCACAGTGGGACAGCCCTCTCCCTCCTCTCCACCTCCTTCCAAAGCAACTCCGCTGCAAAGGGCGGCGCACTCGCCATCGTTGGCTCTGTTCTCTCCTCCTCCTCTTCCTCCTCCACTCCCACCGCTCCCGCCGCTCCCGCAGCTCCTGCCACTCCCTCTGTCTCCACCGTTGCTACAGTCACTTCCTCCTCGTTCTCCCTCAACCACGCTGACCTGGCGGGCGGCGCGGTCTACGCAGCCATGACCGGCGACGCGCGAATCACCGACTGCCAGCTGTCGCAGAACGACGCGACGACAGGTGGCGGGGTGGCACTGGAGGAATACAGTGTGCTGAACATGCAGAGGACCGTGTGTGACGGCAACAAGGCGATATCCGGGGGAGGGTGTTTGGCGCTTATTGACTCTACATCCGGTGTGATTGTAAAGGGGGAGGTGAAGGGGAACGAGGGCGGGAGTGAGGGAGGTGGGGTTCGTGCGAGCGGTTCTGCGAAGTTGAGTGTATCGGGGGTGATTATAGAGGGGAACAGTGCGCAAGGGGGTGGAGGGTTTGTCTGGGCAGAAATGGATTCTCAGGTGAATGCATCGGGCACCACGTTCCGAAACAATTCTGCCCGGTTTTACGGCGGAGTGATCTACGCCGTCCATTCGGCCAGCGTCGCTCTCACAGGATCTGATCTGATCGCGAACAGTGCGGATTTGGGCGGCGCGGCGCTGATCGAGGGGCGGGCGGTTTTGTCCTCTTTCAACTCGTCGTTTTCTGAGAATGCCGCCCATGCAGTGGTGGTGAGAGGCCAGGCACAGGCAATCTTCATCGGTGGTAGCTTCAACAACAACACTGCTGCCAACATCCCGTCCTCTTCCTCCTCTTCCTCCTCTGCTTCTGCTGCTGTTTCAACCATTCCGACCACCACTGCCACCGCCACTGCCGCTGCCACTGCTACCGGATTTTCTGACTCCGCCTATCCTTTCTCGCCTTCTATCCGCATGGCTGCTGCCTTTGCGGCTGCAGTTACCTCTTCCATCGAATCTGCTAGCCTGACCACCAAAGGCCTTACTGCTAGAATCCTTGCTGCTGCTTCTCCTTCTGCTCCTGCTGCTGCTGGTGTGGCTGGGAATGTTACCGCCGGCCAAGGCGGTAACAGCACGGCAGCTGGAGCAACAGCAGCAGGAGGAGCAGCAACGGGAGTGGCGAGCCCTATGGGCGACGGTGGCGCGCTCCACGTCACCGACTCCGCCATCCTCGTTATAAACAGCTCCACTCTCGCCGGCAACACCGGGAGCAGCGGCGGCGCCATCTTCTCCGATTCGCTCGCGACCGTCTCGATCAACGGCTGCGATTTCACCTCAAACTCTGCCAGCAAGGGAGCAGGAGCCCTAGCCACAGGCAACTCCTCCCTCTCCGTCTTCCTGTCTAACTTCTCCTCGAATGCGGCGTCGTTCGGCGGAGGTGGGCTGTTCTACGAGGGTAACTCGCAGGGAAGCATCTTGAACTGCTCGTTTGTGGGGAATGATGCCAAGAAGGGAGGCGCGGCTGTGTATGTCGATCGGGAGCTTCTCCGAAAGAACCCCTTGGGAATGATGACGGACAGCAGCAGTGGGAACAGCACCGGTGACAGCAGCAGCAGCGGCAGTGACAGTGACAGCAGCAGCGGCGGCAGTGGGGATAGTGGGAGCGGGGGCGGTTCAACGGATCTTGCTCTCCCGCCGGCTGTAGCACTGAGCAACAAGCTGACGTGCACGAATGTGGTGTTTGAAGGCAACGCGGCTGTGCCCAGCCAGGGCGTGGCATTCTTCGACACGTCCTTCTGGCCGGGCGTGCGCATCACGTGTGCTGACGCTGATAGTAGCAAGCGGGACACCATCGGCACCCCTCCAACATCCTTCTCGCTCATGTATGTGCCCTGGTTGGGACTTTTCAGGCGCCTCAAAAGCCTTCTTGCTCATGTATGTGCCCTGGTTGGGCTGGCTGATTCCATGTGTGTGTGTTCATGTGCATATGGATGTGCATGTGCATGTGAATGAGTGTGAGTCGACTCAAAACGCGTTGACGTGTTCCTGCTTCCCGTTTCCCCTCTCCCCCCTTCTCTTCCCTGCCTTCCCTGCCCTCGCAGCCGTTCACAGTGATGGGGGACACGCAGACGCCCATCGCCAACATCACCGTCACCATCCTAGACGCCTACGGCAACGCTGCCACGAACGACTTCTCCTCCACCATCGCCATCCTCACTCTCCCTCTTCCTTCCCTTCCTGCTCTTCCTTCCCCTTCCCTTCCCTTCCTGCGCTTCCCTCACTTCCTTGCCCACCCCCAACCCCACCCGCAGGTGGGAGAAAAACGTACTGGAAGGGGGAAATGGCAGCGATACCTCTGTCCCGTTCACAGTGATGGGGGACACGCAGACGCCCATCGTCAACATCACCGTCACCATCCTAGATGCCTACGGCAACGTCGCCACCGACGACTTCTCCTCCACCATCGCCATCCAGCCCGACCCGCGCATCTCCGGGCTCCTCCGCGCCACCGCCCTCCGCGGCCGGGCGGTCCTGCCGCCCGTTTCCCTCGTCCTGACGCCTGAAGACGCCGCGAATTTCACCCTCCCGATCACCGTCAGCAGCCCGACGGACGCGTACCCGCCGATCAGTCGCGAGCTTGAATTCGGGTTGTGCGATCCGGGGAGCTATTTCTCTCTGGATGATCTAGCTTGTTTGCCTTGTGAGGTGGGGTTCATGTGCCCGGCAGGGCAGGGCGCAGTGATGTGCGAGGGTGGGACTTTCAGCTTTCTCCCGGCTGCGAGCGAGTGTGCGACGTGCGCGGATACGGTCACCATTCACGGGGACAATGCCATGGATTGCACCAATGGCACCTGCACCATCGCTGCGGATTTCTGGTTGAACCCGGGGAGCGTTTACACTGACAACCCCACAGTATACTACTGCGACGTGTCGAGTACGTGTCGCCTCTTTCACATCTATCTTGCATCAAGATGCCGAGTACTTTTGAGGCGCCTCAAAAGGCGCCTCTTTCTCATCTATCTTGTGTCAAGATGCCGAGTGCTACCTTCCTCACTCACTTGTGTGTCACGCACTTTACCTTTCCCTCATTTGTCTCGAGGTGACCTTTGAGTTGACTCAAAAGTAAAAGTTACCTCGTTACTTGTGTGTCACGCACTTTACCTTTCTCTCATTTGTCTCGCCCCTCTTTTCCACACCCCGCCCTTGTGAGCAATTTATGACGATTCTAAAGAAGGCTTCCAGTCTCCATATTCCCACAAACTCATTCTTCCTCCTCACATGTTCTCTGCCCCCCCCCGTCCTCTGTCCCCTCCTCCTCTGCCCCCCCCTCCTCTGCCGCCCCCTCTTTTCCCGCCCCTTTGCCACTCCCTCCACTTCCATACCCCCCCTTCCACTGCCCTTCCCCCCCCCTCCCCCCCATCCCAGACAGCTGTGCAGGCTACGAGTATGCATCCCCCAACGACTCGCAGTGTGCGGAGGGGTACAACCAGAACCGCCTCTGCTCCATGTGCTGCTGCCACTCTTGGCCTCATGCGCTGTACTCCTTCCCCTCTTCTCCCCACTCCCAAACCCTTTTCCTTTTCTCCAGACGGCTGTGCGGGCTACGAGTACACATCCCCCAACGACTCGCAGTGTGCGGAGGGGTACAACCAGAACCGCCTCTGCTCCATGTGCGCCCCCGGCTACTACTCGGTCATCGGCACGTGCTACCAGTGCACCTCCTGGATGGAAACCGTGAGTGCTGTGCTGTGCTGTGCTGTGCTGTGCTGTGCTGTGCTGTGCGGTGCTGTGCTGTGCTGTGCTGTGCTGTGCTGTGCGGTGCTGTGCTGTGCTGTGCTGTGCTCCCTGGCCCCTTGTTTCTAGAGCTTTTCGTGTCAATAGTGCTGCATTGCTCCCCCCCTGCTCTGCTCCATGTCCGCCCCGGCTACTACTCGGTCATCGGAGCATGCATGCTACCAGTGCACCTCCTGGATTGAAACGGTGAGTGCTGTGCTGTTCTCTGTGGCCCCGTGTTTCTAGAGCTTTGTGCGCCGATAGTGCTGCACTGTTCGCTCTGCTCGCCCCTGGCTACTAATCAGTCATCGGCACGTGCTACCAGTGCACCTCGTGGATGGAGACGGTGAGTGCCTTGGGGGTTTATACCCTTTCCCTTTCCATCTCCTCTGCTCCCTCTCCTCTGCTCCCCCTGCTCTGCTCCCTCTACTCCTCCCCCTCCGCCCCCGGTTACTACTCAGTCATCGACACGTGCTACCAGTGCACCTCCTGGATGGAGACGGTGAGTGCTGTGCTGTTCTCTGTGGCCCCGTGTTTCTAGAGCTTTGTGCGCCGATAGTGCTGCACTGTTCGCTCTGCTCGCCCCTGGCTACTAATCAGTCATCGGCACGTGCTACCAGTGCACCTCGTGGATGGAGACGGTGAGTGCCTTGGGGGTTTATACCCTTTCCCTTTCCATCTCCTCTGCTCCCTCTCCTCTGCTCCCCCTGCTCTGCTCCCTCTACTCCTCCCCCTCCGCCCCCGGTTACTACTCAGTCATCGACACGTGCTACCAGTGCACCTCCTGGATGGAGACGGTGAGTGCTGTGCTGTTCTCTGTGGCCCCGTGTTTCTAGAGCTTTGTGCGTCGATAGTGCTGCCCTGTTCGCTCTGCTCGCCCCCGGCTACTACTCGGTCATCAGCACGTGCTACCAATGCACCTCGTGGATGGAAACGGTGAGTGCCTTGGGGGTTTGGACCCTAAGTTGCTTTTTTCAGTTGACTCAAAGTCATCTCTAAGTTGCTCTTCTCAGTTGACTCAAAAGTCATCTTTAAGTTGCTCTTTTCTCCATGCTCTTGATCATGCTGTGGGTAGCAACGGCTGACTCAAAAGCCCCCTCTCTCCCCTCCCCCCTCCCTGCTGCCCTTCCTTTTTTGTCCCTTATGCAGCTCTTCTGGTTCTTCTTCGTGCTGGTCAGCACCCATCCACTCTTACCCCATTCTCCCCCACTATCCCTCCCTCCCCCCTCCCTGCTGCCCTTCCTTTTTGTCCCTTGTGCAGCTCTTCTGGTTCTTCTTCGTGCTGGTGATCCTGCTATGGGTGGCAACGGGCTCACTTCTGCGTCGACTCAAAAGCCCCCACTATCCCTTCCCTCCCCCCATCCCCAACACTCCCCTTTTTGTCCCTGGTGCAGCTCTTCTGGTTCTTCTTCGTGCTCGTGATCCTGCTGTGGGTGGCGACGGCCGTCTTTTCTGACCGCTTCCACTCGGTGTCGATGATGAACAGTGAGCTGCAGATCCTGGCTGTGCTGGGCTCTGTGGATTTGCAGTTCCCCGACTGGGCGAGAAAAGTTGTGGAGCTTTCAACACTCAGTCTCTTCTCCGTGGTACGTGCCTGGGAGGGTCACACAGAGAGGTGGGGTGTGGGTGATGAACACTGAGCTGCAGATCCTGGAGGTGCTGGGGTCCGTGGATCTGGAGTTCCCTGACTGGGCCAGGAAGGGGGTTGAGCTTTCAACACTCAGCCTCGTCTCCGTGGTAAGTGGCTCAGTTACAGAGAGGGATCGAGCTGTCAGTCACTCATCCACTCATTCACTCACTCACTCGTGGTTGGATCACTGAGAGAGCAGCACACATGGCACACAGCCTCTTCTCTGTGGTACGTGGCTGGGTCACTGAGCCCCCACTCACTCACTCACTCGCTTTCTCACTCCCTTGCTCGCTCACTCACTCAAGCCCTCGCTCACTCACTCACTCACTTACTCAAGCCCTCGCTCACTCACTCACTGGTGGTTGGATTAGATCACTGAGAGAGCAGCCCATATGGCATGGGAGGGGTGGGTATCAGTGATGAACAGTGAGCTGCTGCAGGTCCCGGCAGTGCTCAAGGAACCTTCCGCCTCTTATTCCTCCGCTCCCTCCCTCCCACCCCACCTTCCGCCCTTTCTCCCTTCCACCTCCTCTCCCGATCAGGACATCCTGGGCCCCGACTGCAAGGTCTCCTTCCCCTTCACGTCCCGCTGGGCGCTCACAATGATAGTCGCTGCCGTGGGTCTCGCAGCCTACGCGCTGCTCTTTGCCGTGCAAGGCACCCTCCGCCGCTTCTTCCCCTCACCCGCCCACTCCTCCCACTCGCACGGCCACGCCGGGGGGAAGGGAGGGGAGGAGAAGGGAAGGGGGAAGGGAGGGGAGGTTGGGGGGGACAAGCCGTCGGCGAATCCGCCGGCCCCTCTGGAGGATATTTACATTCACGGCGCGGCCAACTGGCTGGACGTGTGCTATCTGCCCGTCACTGTCCGCTGCTTCCAGGTGAGTGTTTCCTTCACGTGAACCCTTCAGGTGCGCTGCTTCCATTCCAGGTGAGCCGTGCGCTAACAGGTGAGCCCTGCACTGTGTGAGACCTCCTTCGGAGGATATTTACACTCACGGGGCGGCCAACTGGCTGGATGTGTGCTACCTGCCCGTCACTGTGCGCTGCTTCCAGGTGAGCCCTGCTCTTCCAGCCAGGTGAGCCCTGAACTGGATGAGCCCTCCCCTTCCAGGTGAGCCCTCCCCTTCCAGGTGAGCCCTGCACTGGGTGAGACCGCCTCTGGAGGATATTTATAATCACGGCGCGGCCAACTGGCTGGACGTGTGCTACCTACCAGTCACCGTGCGCTGCTTCCAGGTAAGCCCTGCACCGGATGGCACCTCCCCTTCCAGGTGAGCCCTCCCTTCCAGGTGAGCCCTGGACTGTACTTTTGAGAAATTTAGGGTGTTTTCAAGTTCCACTCTTCCAATGCTCCCTCCCCACTTCCTCCCTCCCTCCCAACATAAGAGTGGCAGTAACATAAGCACGTACGATTCACCCATTCCCCCCTTCTGGCAGGCCTTTTCCAAGAGCACGTATGACGAGACAGTGATGACCTTCTCCCCCACGGACCTGACCTTCACGTGACTGTCATGACCTTCTCCCCCACGGACCTGTGGAGCAGCAGTGCGCGCATCACCCAGTGCCCCCTCAAGATCTCCAAAGCCATCCTTCCCCTCCCCCTCGCTTCCCCCTTTCATCCCCCCCCTCTCCTCCTCTTCCCTCCTCTCCCTCCCTCCCTCCCTCCCTCCCTCCCTCCCTCCCTCCCTCCCTCCCTCCCTCCCTCCCTCCCTCCCTCCCTCACTTCCCCCTCCAGGCCTTTTCCAAGAGCACGTACGACATGACTGTCATGACCTTCTCCCCCACGGACCTGTGGAGCAGCTCGGCGCGCATCACGCTGTTTGCCATCGCCATCGCCGTCACCATCGTCTTTGTGGCGGGCGCGCCCATCTACTACGCGCTCACCATGCTCTACGGCAAGAAGCAGAAGCTGCTCGATACAAGGGCGTTCCGCGCGCGCTGGGGGTGGATGGTCACGCGATATGAATATCGCTATTTCTACTGGCACCTCATGCTGTTCGCCAGGCGGATTCTCGTCGCGGCTCTCTTTGTCTTCCTCATTGACTCGCCTCCGGTTCAGGTATGCATATGTGTCGCATAGAGGGGGCGGGGTGGGATGGGGGTGGTCACGCGATACGAGTACCGCTATTTCTACTGGCACCTCATGCTGCTCGCCAGGCGGATTCTCGTTGCCGCGCTGTTCGTTTTCCTCATCAACTCTCCGCCCGTCCAGGTAACTATTTGCCGCCTCCCCGTTCGTCGCCTCGACCCACGACGCGTTCGCAGCGATCCTAATCGTCGCCGAAATTATCTTCATCATCGCCACCATGGGGTACAACTTCGTGCAGATCCCCTAATTTCTCTCCTCATCTCTACCCCCTCCTCCCCTTCTACCCCTTCCTCCCGTCCCCCCTCTCTGCCTCTGCCCCCCTTCTTCCTCCCAACCCCTCCCTCCCCACCACAGATGACTGTGCTCTTCCCCGGGCAAGTCATTCTCATTTTTGAGACGTCTCAAAAGTCATTCTCATCGGCCTCCAGCTCGCCGCCTCCCCTTTCCTCACCTCAACCACAACCCCTCTCTTGTCCCCCCAACTCCCCTCCTCCCCCCCCCCCCCTCCCCACCACAGATGACTGTGCTCTTCCCCGTACAAGTCATTCTCATCGGCCTCCAACTCGCCGCCTCCCCTTTCGTCGCATCCACCCACGACGCGTTCGCAGCGATCCTAATCGTCGCCGAAATGATCTTCATCATCGCAACCATGGGGTACAACTTCGTGCAGCTCGAAACGCTCCCTAAGATCGGTTTCGCGCTGGTCATCGTCGCCTTCTGCGTCCCCACCCTCCTCGTCTTCTCCTACGAATCAGCCAACCATCTCCTGGTCTGGAAAGTCCACGGCGCAGCGAAAAGCCTCTGGGCTCTAGACGACGAGGGGGAGGGTGGTGATGGAGCAGAGGGAGCGGGAGGGAAACCCGGAGCAGGAGCGGCTAGTAACAAACCGGCGAAGCATGTGAGGGAGGGGGCGGTGGAGGTGTCGCCTAGTGACGTGCTGGACTGGTTCCGCCCACACATTGCAGCTATCATCCTGCTCCCAGGCCGCGAGGAAGAGCGGAGGCTGCTGATGAAGGTCCGCCGAGCTTACGAGGCTTGCTGCTACCCCCTCAACTCCCCAGCTGCTGCTGCTTCTCTTGCCGTTGGTGGTGCGGAAACCGGCAACGGCCCTGCCGCCTCCGCCTCTTCCTCCTCCACTGCCCTGGTTCCCGCACCGGAATTTGGAGACACCTCCTGGATCAAGGACCTGAACAAGTCGCAGCGCTTTGCCGCTCTGCATCAGATTGTGCTGGGCGCAGCAGTGGGGAGGCGCCCTGTTGCCCGCGTGCCCTTTGATGCCCGCGACGTGCCGGCTATCTGGACCACGTCCGGTGGGGTTGTTATCGCGGGTATGGGCGTTGTTCCCACCACTAGCGGCGGCGGTGGCGGGGGGACGGGAGCGCAGGAGAGCGAGGGGAGGGATATTGCTTCTGGGGGAACGCTGAGTTCGCGGTATGGGTATGGAAGCACCAGCTTTTACAGTGGAGCGGGCGGCGGGCCGGGCGGCGCAAGCACCCGCGTGCACGACATTCTAGCGTCCTCGCGGTTCATCAGCAAGGCGATGCGGGAAAACGCCAAAACAGACCGCCCGGCACTGGTCCGCTCGAAGAATATCTCGATCAAGAATCTCCGGCCGCCCAAGCCGCCCCAGCCGCTGCCGCAGGACCTGTGGCCGCCGCCCCTGGAGGAGTGCGCCACGTGGGCGCATGTGATTGGGCGGCAGCAGGCGGCTCAGATGGAACGAGACGCTGCAGTGGCAGAGGGGAGGGAGGAGGAGGAAGAGGAGGAAGACGAAGGGGCCAAGGAAGAAATGGCCGGGGCCCCTGCTGGGTATGCAAACGGCGGGTCGGAGAAACCGAACGGTGCTGTTAATGGCGCTGCGAATGGAGGCGAGGCGAACGGAGAGGGCGAGGAGGATGAGGAGGACGAGGAGGAGGAAGAGGAGGAGGAGGAAGGGGAGTATCTGGAAGCGTGGTTGGACAGCATGGGTATCTCCCTGGCGTTCCAACAGAGCTTCTCGCAGCTGACTCTGGTGGAGAAGAAGAGGAAGCCCCAGTCGCTGCGCCGCCTGCTCACGTCTGTCAAGCTGCCAGACATCCTCGGCTGGCTCTCGTCCCCCTTATGGTGAGCCCCGTTATTGCCCTCCCCCCTCCTCCCCCCCCCCCCCCCCACCTCTCCCCCTCTCCCGGCCTCCCCCTCCGTCCCCCCTGTGTTGAGTGCTTGTCTTCTCCTGAAGAGCCCTTAGAACCTTGAGAGTGTGGTGAGGTGAGGGCTTCTCCCAGCTGACTCTGGTGGAGAAGAAGAGGAAGCCACAGTCGCTGCGCCGCCTGCTCACTTCCGTAAAGCTCCCGGATATCCTCGGCTGGCTCTCGTCCCCCCTGTGGTGAGCCTCGTTGTTGGCTGTCTTACTTCTTATGGTGAGCGCCTCTTATGGTGACCCTCATTATTGCTCTCATGCCCTCCCTCTGCTATTCCTTTCTCTTGCTCCCATAACGCTTCGCTGACCTTTTCTTTCTCTTAATTTTCCTCCTGTTCCTTCTCTCGCTGTTCTCTCCTCTCTGTATTTTACCGTATCTTCCTTCTTTCACTCAAGCATTTTGTCCCCTCACTCCCTCACCCTCCATCCCTTCTCTCCTTCCTTTTGTCTTCTTTCCTCCTCCCTCTTCCCCCCCCTGCCCGTCCCCACCTGCAGCACCACTGCTGACCGAGCCTTGTTTGTTCGTCTGCTAGCTGCCGTGCGGGCGGCGACAGTGGAGGATGCGGGCGGCCCGCGTTGGAGCAAGTGTCTCGTGGTGGCGTTCCAGGGCAAGGCCAACACCACCCGCAAAGTGGCAGCAGCAAGGTGAGGGCGATGGGAGAAGGTGGGTCAAGTTGGGGGCGATGTGACAAGTGCCATAGGGGTGTGGAAGGACAGTGGGACAGCCGCCACTAGGCAGTGAGGGTGCCCGGGGTGGCGTTTCAGGGCAAGGCCAACACCACCCGCAAAGTGGCAGCAGCAAGGTGAGGGCGATGGAAGGGATGTGTGAGCAACGTGAGAAGCGCCATAGGAGTGTGGCAGGGCAGGCAGACCCAGACGAGGCAGTGAGTGTGCCTGGTGGTGGCGTTTCAGGGCAAGGCCAACACCACCCGCAAAGTGGCAGCCGCAAGGTGAGAGCGATGGGAGAAGGTTAGTGCGATGTGACAAGGTTAGTGCGATGTGAGAAGGTGAGAACGATGTGAGAAGGTTAGTGCGATGTGAGAAGCGGTGGCTGGGCAGTTAGACCCACACAAGGCAGTGAGTGTCTGGTGGTGCTGTGCCTACAACATTTGATTATACCTGCGCTGCCTTCGCGCTTGTGTGTGTCTCCTGTGTGTCTCCTGTGTGTCTCCTGTGTGTCTCCTGTGTGTCTCCTGTGTGTCTCCTGTGTGTGCACCTCTCCCTGCACATGTCTCTGCCTCTCTCCAACGCTGCAGCAAGGACTATCTAGCAGAAGCATCAGAGCATACACTGGCAGAGGCATCGCAGGAGGACTCACCATATGGCTACGGTGTCTGAGGTGGGATTTGGGGGGCTACAGTGTCTGACAGGCTTTCTAGCTGGTGCTTCCGTGTCTGAGAGGCTTTCTCGCTGGTGGTATGGCGTCCGAAGGCCTTACGGGCTGTGCTGTCTGAGGGGTGGGGTTCTTGGCTTGGGGTATGGCTACAATGTCTGACAGGGGGGTGGGGAAGCTGGGGTGTTGTGGCATTGTAAGTTCCAGGGGGGGCTTTGGCGTCCGAAGGGCCGCGGGCTACTATGGAGTCAATGTGTTGAGAATTTTCATCAGGGAAAAGACGGTGGCAGCAGCAGCACGCATCAGCAGCGGCACCGGGCCGCTTTTCTGAAAGCAGCTGTTTGTTCCGAGACCTTAGGCAGAGGGATCACACAAAATGAATGTGGGTGCGGTCACTCTTGAGTGGAGAGGAAGAGTGAACAGAGGACCTTCCTTCCTTTCTGTACTCGCCATGGCCTTGCCTCTTATGGTTATGGCAAGTTGCAACGCAAAGTATTTGTGAATTAAGGAACATGTGTTTGTATTAGGGTTTAGTAGTGGGATGGATCATGGACATGTCATTGCCATGCCATCCCTTGACTGTGGCTGTATGTTGTGTAGTGCTGCGCTTCTATAACTTGGGAGGGATTGCGAACTGTAAAGCTGTGGAATTGGAAATAAGCCCAAAGCTCTCGTTTTCCATGTTTCTTTAGAGTGTATTTCCTGTAAATGCAAGTGATATGTCTTCCGCCGAGTTCATGTCAGTTGGTGGTAGCGTACAAGTAGAATCATTACTAAGCTAATATTCCTAATCTACGGTACCACACTAAATTCCACATCTTAATCACATGCCACTGGTACAACATGATCCTACTCACTCCTCTTAACATGTACACCCAACATGAAGAACTACCCATCCAGCACACCTGTACACCAAACCGGCTGGGTCTACCGTATCATCAAAATTTAACTATGCCGTTCCCCGAATATATACGCCGGCATTTATTTAGCCATTCTTCTTTACCATGTACAGACTAATCGTAGGTGTATTCTTATCCAGCTTCTCCATTCAGTCTCCCTCCTGTACCCGTACATGACCCCGCTCAGCAGCTGCCCACAGGATGACCACACAAATTCTCATTTCCGGGCAGAAACGACCACACGGGAAATCCCGAAAGCTGCTGTGGAACAGAGCCCTCCAGATCGTTACCCGCCACTCGGAGCATCTCTAGATTTGCACCACCATTTGAAGCATCTCCCAAACCTTCTGGAATGCTTCCCGTGAGCCGGTTCCAGGCCAGATTGAGTGAGGTCAGGGCACGCAGCCCAGTCAGTTCTTCAGGTATGCTGCCCGAGAGAAGATTTCTAGGAAGGTTTAAGTAGCGGAGGTAGGAGAGGTCACCAAGGGCAGCTGCTGGAAGTGCTCCTCCAATGCGGTTATTAGCGAGGTCGAGTTTGATCAGAGAGGCACCGCAGGAGGATATGGAAGCTGGGATGGTGCCGGAAAGGTGGTTTCCAGCAAGGTTGATCACTCGTGGGCATTCCACAAATTCAGGAAGGTGACCTGAAAGTTGCAAAAGAGGTAGGAGGGGCGTAATAAGACAGAAAATAAACATCAATGGACAGTTTTGATTTCATACCTCTATTAACTCTACTCCATCTCTTCCAACTAAGATAAACCAGAAGAAGCTTGAACAGATAACAGACAGCACTTGAGCAAATGCACTCACTGTTGATCTCGTTGTAGCTGATGTCGATGAAGCGTAAAGCAGAGTTTCCGAATGTCTGGTCGGGGATGTGGTCGACAATGTCATTGTCGTGCATATCGAGGTGCGAAAGCTGAGCCAGCGATACCAGTCGCGACGGAATCGACCCTCGCAGTCGGTTGTGCGACGCATCCAGGGAAGCCAGGTTCGTCAGGGTGGTGAGCGGATCTAGTGTACTGTTGATGTAGTTCGAACTGATGTTGACTCGCTTGAGAACCGTCGATCCAGTCAGAAACCCGACAGGTATGCTCCCCGTCAGATGGTTGTGCGAAAGGTCGAGATTCGCAACCCTCTCCAGATTTTGGAAGGGGACCAGACTTCCACCGATGTTGTTGTAACTCAGATCCAGAACGACTCGCGGCGACTCGTGTCCATTGTTGTGGAAGTTGGAACTTACTCCAGTCAGTTTGTTGTGTGCGACGGAAAGTGAGCGAAGGCTGCGAAGGTGACTGAAATACCCAGGAAGCGAACCGCTCAGCTTGTTCCACGCGAGATTCAGGAACTGGAGAGCCGTCAACTCGCCCAACACTGACGGAATGCTTTTGTCAAACTTGTTCTCGCTCAAATCTAGATGGGTTAGCGTCACAACACCACCAAGCCCAGATGGCACGGTTCCATTGAAACGATTCTTCCCGAGGTCAAGATGCTCCAGCATGTCTGTCTGGTAACCCGATTTCCACTTGGGGATCGTGCCATTGAAATAGTTGCGACGAAGATTCAACTTCCGCAAATTCGGCATGCGGAAAATCGCAGGGTGGACACCACCAGACAAGTAGTTATAACTCAGGCTCAGGTGCTCCAAATTCAAAAGCTGGTTCAATTGAGCGGGAATGTTTCCCGTCAGCCTATTTCCGTCCAAGTGCAGCCTTTCCACCCGCCACGCCTTGGATATTTCTGTGGGAACACTTCCACCGAGCTTGTTCCAGCGCAGATTAAGATAGGTGAGCCGGTTGAGGTTACTCAGCTGCTTCGGTATGTTGCCGTTGAGATTGTTGAAGCTTAAATCCAGCCGCTCCAGGCGCGTCGCACGAGAAAGCGCTGACGGGATTGGATTGTACAGCCGGTTATATGACAGGTCCAAGTGCCTTAGCGACGCTGAAAACGCCGTCGAACCGGTCGGAAGAGCACCGTACAAATCCGCTCCGCGAAAATCCATCACCGAGAGCCACCCCAGTCCAAAAATCGAGGCGGGAATGCTGCCATAAAGTTGTCGATTTCCGCTCATGTTCACCCGCCGCAGATTCGTCAGCAGCCCGAGAACCGTAGGCAGGGAACCCCCCAGGTTGTTGCACGAAAAGTCGACATGCGTGAGATGCTCGAGATTCCTGATGTCGGTCGAAATGGAGCCGGTGAGGAGAGTCGGGTAGGCGGTGCACGGGGAGAAGTTGAGCGACGTGACGAAGTCGTTGGCGTCGCAGCCGATGCCGGCCACGCTGCATGCGGTCGCGGGAGCGCCTGGGACGGGGTTGGTGACCCCCGCCGCTAGGAGGAACTTGCGCACGGCGTCAACCTCGGTTGCTTGGGGGAGAACCTTGGCGGCCGGCGTAAGGGTGGCGCCGGCTTGCGGAAGGGTGGCGACTTGCGGAAGAACCTCGCTGGTGGCTTGGGGAAAGAGGTGTCGTGCAGAGAGGGTGGAAGGAGGGAAGAGGAGAGACAGGAGGAGTAGGAGGAGGAGGCGCGTGCGGGGTGTGGAATTTGACCAGAATGATTTAGAGGCAGCCATGGAAGCAATATTAGGTAATCTGATTCGCGTATAGCGTTTGAGAAAGGGAAGGTGCGTCAACGTACGAGTATCCAGCCGAGCGGAGAACTATCTGGCACGTAAATTGTGAAACCTCAACTCGAAGTAGCTGATTTGCTTCAACCGCGTGTTGCTGGAATATCTAAGATTCAAGGTACGTACGGAGCGAAACACGCAATCTTGCTGTTTTGCGGCGATGAGCCAAGAATTGGCTCAACCGCGGCCCGTTTTCCTGGACAACACATATTTGGCGGCTCGAGCCGCGCCAAAGACAGCATTGCGGCTGGAAGAATACGGAAATGGCAGGCGCCACGTTCGCGATGTGGGAATCGCACTGCGTATTGGAGGTGGTGCCAACAAAGAATTCCAGCTATGACTTGTAGACTCGTGAAGAGACTTTAGATGCACGTGATTCATGTTTTGGGCAAGCAAGCAACTGAACACTAGGCATTTCTCAACTCAATGGCGATTACAAAACTTTCTCAACTCAATGGCGATTACAAAACTCCCTCAACTCAATGGCTTCTTGCTTTGACCAAGGGGGGTTTCCAATACTTACCTGGCAAACAGTTCGGGCAGAACGTAGTGCATTCATCCTGCGTCAGGCGGGTGATGTGCTTGTGGGTCACATGCTCTTGTTCTGCCTGGCTGGGCTGGGTTTGGCTGTGCTTACGTGTGTGCACACGCGGAGTCATGCTGGTTTGGTTGCATTTCCGCAGGGCATTGGCTGGGTGAAATGTCAAGGGTCTAAACCCTTAGGTGCTGAATGGGACCAGAGAGTCACTGCGCTGCTGGACCCTCCTTTAATAGGTGTTCCGTTCAAAATGTAAAACAGACTCGTTTATTTGCGTTTTATTATATTTGTCAGTTTTCTTATACACTACGAAAACATAACTTTTGAAGACGACCTGAGCCTCATTCACGTTTGTCAGACAGTTTACGAGCATCTATAAGCTGCAAAAATTGGTTGAAATAATCATGCAATGAACGACAACGAAGCCGACTTCGGTGGAGCCAACTTCAGCGAAGCCAACGAGACGTTAGTCGACGAGGTGAAGTCGGCGGACAGCCTTGAGCCTCGAAGGTTGACGAAGGTGATTGTCGAAATGGCACCGGCCTACAGACGCCGACCTACAACGGTTGGCGTTGGCTCAG